CCAGGACTTCATAACATTTTTCTTTGACTTCATTAGTGTTCATCACGGTGGGAGCATATGCATTGATGATGGTGGCATGGCACTTTCCTGCAAGTGGCAGTCACATTGTCATGATCCTGTCATTTACATAGACATACAAGCTTATTGGCTAGATTAGTTTTGATAGCAAAATCTGTGCCAGCTTCATGACACTCTTCATCAATGCGATCACTCCAGAAAAATGTGTATCCAGCTCCAACTTTGGTAAGCTGGCCTTTATCTGCCAGTCTTGTTTCACTCATCTGGATACAACGTCTGCTGAGTTCTCTCACAACAAAAGCTATTTGATTTTCAGGTCTACTGAATTTTGTGCTGTCCGTAAGTATGTGCACATTCCATGTACTGATGGTGAATGGAATCATCTTTGCAAAAGTTTCTGTATTTTTTGGGGCTTTAACTACAAGGTAGTATCCCTTCCTGCTGTGGCAAGCATGCCAGAGTTGGGTGAAGCAGACAATTTTAGGGCACCTTTTCTAGCCCCTTCCTCACGCCAGGAGGTGAGCAGCGCAGTCCTGAAAAGGCTGCTCAGACACCCAGGAAGCTGCTGAATCCCACTGCTGCTTCAGTCCAGGAAGAAGGGGACCCTAGGCCTGAGCCACATGTTTGCAGGATTGTGACTACAGCTCCCAGCGTATCTGCACTGGCTGCTTCATCGCTTGCCCACCACAGGACTTTGAGGTAGATAAAAGTGGCAGAATGGTATGGATAATGTCTTTTGATTCAAGCATAAACCAGATTTAAGTGAAGCAGAGTCAGGCAAAGTCATCGGCCTCATTCTCTCTTCCAGAATCTTTAGAGTCCAGTGGCAAGACAAAGGCAAGACGACCTCTCCTCTCCTCTCCCCTCCTCTATATTGTCAATGGAGGATTATTTCCCTCCCCCTTGCTGGAGTTTCTTGCTAAAATGTGATCCTGCGTGTGCACAGTGGGCTACAACAAAGCAGAGGAAAGCTAGACTGGGGAGGAGGGCCTCAAAAGAGTCTAGGGAAAAATTAGGATCCCAGATCCTCAGCTGGAAGGGACCTCACAGGTCCCTCTGAGGGACTGAGTCCACCCCTCCCCATTTTACAGATGAGGAAACTGAGGCCCAAGTAGGTGACATGATTAGCACAAGGTCATACATGTGTGACTGAGCTAGGCTTCAGACTCAGGTAGGTCCTCTGACTCTAGGGTTGGTGTTTTTTTTTTTTTCTATACCACAGTTAGTTTATTTAACTTCAAATTTACTTGGAAAAACCCCACAAAGGAACAATATTTTCCTTTTTTAAAAAGTATTTTATTTTCAGGGTAATGGGAAAATGTGAAATAATAAAACTTTACATTGATAAATATCTAGAGGCAGTGTGGCATAGTGGATGAAGAGATAGCTTGGAGCGAGCAAGGCCTGGGTTTGAGACCTGCCTTTAACACATACCATATGGCTGTATGGTTGAGGATGAATCATTAAACCACTCAGTGTTCAAGGCAACTCTGTAAGATGTTAAGTCACAGAGGGTATGGTAAAGGGAGTTTTCTCATCTGCAAGTTCCTCATACCTGTGAAACCCCAGATGCAGTCCCTGGCCCCCTCCTTCAAATAATACAAATGGAAAGGACACTGCATTTGAAGCCAAAGGACCTGGGTCCAAAGTCTGGCTCTGAGAGGGAAGAAAATCAAATCAACAAAATAAAAAATGAACAGGGTGAAAACAACAAAATCAGAAGAAATGAAAAAAAGTTTGAACCTGCCGGGCATAGTTATATACTAACAAAAAAAGAGAACACAAAAAGAAATAGAGGACTAAAAATATAAAATACCCAAACTAATAGAACACCAACTCGAGACAGTAAGTAATTCAATGTCAGAAAAGACACCTGGAGCTAGATTTGAAGGAACCATCAAAGGAAAACTCCTGGTTCTGGTGGATTCTCTGGAAAATTCTATCAAACTTTCAAAGACAAATCATACCAATACTATACAAATTATTCTCAAAAATCAGGAAAGAGAGCATCCCATCAGATACCTTTGACGAGCAAATAGAGCCCTAATACCCAAACCAGGGAAGGATAAATCGCAGAACTACTGACCATTATCATTAATGAATATCGATTAAAATTGTGTCGAACAGAATACAGCAATTTATCAAAGACAACATGTACTATAACCAAACTTATATTTATACTAGGGATACAAGAATGGTTCAACATTCAGGAAATTAAGCCTGGCTCTGGTTTACAGGGTGACCTAGGGCAAATTGCTTAACCTCTCTGGGCTTGTTTACTCAGTTGTAGAATTGGGGGAGAGGTGGATTGGGAACCTCTGGCACCCCTGCAAATTCTCAGTCTGAGATCCTAAATCTACTGTGACCTCCTAGTTTGCAAAGTGCTCTATATCATTTGTTCCTCAGAATAACCCTGTGAAGAATTCAGGGGTTTAATTATCCCTGTTCTCGAGACTGAGAAGTTAGGCTTTACCCACAGCATCAAATCTAGTAATTATCAGCCCTGAAACTGGAACCTGGGTCTTTTGACCCTAAGGTCAGTGAACTTTCAACTACTCCATGCCTAACCTCAAAAAATAGCTTGTTATAGCTCTGTGCCTCAGTGTGCCTGAGAGGGACTGAGGAACAGAAGAACGGGGGTGGAATTCCAAGGGTTGGAAAACTTGATTTAGAATTTTGGTTCTGACATTGACTTGCTAGTGTGACCTTAGGAAAATAACATTATTATTGTTATTAATAAACAAACCCAAACTGACATTCATAAGGCACCTTTCTTAATCTTGAGCCTTGATTTCCTCATCTGAAGAATGGGAATAATAATATGTGACCAGTTCGACTTGCTGTCAGTTTCAAATGCTATCATACATCCAAGTTTTGTAAACTCTAAGGCTAATAATAGTAGGTTGTTGTGACAGGGTTTAGCAGAATGACTGGGAGGGCTGCAAAGACCTCCCTTGGAAGTCCATAGCTGCAAGAGGAAAGAGATTAAATAAGTTCCTTATATTGTTTCTGATGGGAGGGGCAGGAAATGATCGGGCTGACCAATGGCAGTGGGGGTGGGGCTGCCAATGAGAGGCTGGGCGATCTCTCTCCTGAACCGCACACCTGCCTCTCAGGCCAGAACCGGGAAGACAAGTAACTAACGAGGTGTGAGGCGCTCCTTCCGCAGAGCCTGGGGGGTCCTCTCTCTAGCCCCTCTTCCTCCACTGGAACACTGGAGATCACGGCTCCAGGTCATCTATCAGGCAGGGATCTGATGTCCCAGACCTGTTACTTCCTACCTGTGGGATCTTAGACCAGTCATTTCATTTCCATGTACCTTGGTTTGCTAATCTGTAAAAGAAGGCTGAACTGGCTGGCCTCCAAATGTCTACACGTCCCTTCCAAATTCACATTTACGATTCTTTGACCCTGTGACTCATAATAGCCACCAGAGGACCCGAGTTCGAATCCCAAATCTGGAGACTAAATAATAATTTAAACGGCTGATGCTGAAATCCTGCTTTAAGGTCTGCAAAGCACTTCACGAACTGAGACCTCATTGAGCCTCACAACTGTGTTGGGAGGTAGGTAGCTCAGGAGATACACGTTTACTTCACCGATGAAGAAACTGAGGCTCAGCTAAGGGACAGCGGCACACCTGGCGTCTGGGCTTCGCTAGATTTCTTCCAGTCCCGGGGCTCCCTTCCTGCTTTGGGTCTTATGATCCTAAATCACTTCTTTCCCTTGCCGAGTGTCAGTTTCCTCTTATGTAAAATGAATCGCTAAGGTGTCTGTCCCCTCTAAATTCTGTGATCTGAGTTTCAGCTCTGCCATAGCCTTTTTGTGTTGTCCCCCCCCCCCCGGGCCTTAGTTTCCCCAGAAGTAAAACTTGATCTCTAAGGACCCTCGCAGCTCTTGCTATAATGATGAAGCAGTGTGGTACCACAGAAAGCGTTTGTAACATCAGAGGACCTGGGTTCAAATGCGACTTCTGTTGCTTACTACCGGTGTGGTCTTAGGTAAGTCACTTTCTGGCCTCACTTTCCTGATCTGTAAAATGGGGGGCGGTGCTAGCAGACTTCTAAGGTCGAGTCTGGATCTGTAACACTCCGACCCTCCCTGCCCCAGGCGGAAGTATGCACGGGGAGCGAGCCTTATAAACCACCAGCGGAGCCCCGGAGAAAAGTTGGGTCGGGAAGTTCCTTGGAGCCGGCGGGCTGGAAGGAAGGAGGGAGCAGCCCCCAGCCCCACCCCCCGCAGCCGCAGTCAGTTCGTCAGACTGTCCGTCTGTGCGGGCAGCTCCTCCCCCGCACCTGGGCGCTCTCCCCAGTAACAGGTGACACAGGGCGGCCGCCTGGCGCGGCTGCCTGCCGCCTGGCGCGGCTGCCTGCCGGCTCCCCCGCGGGGCGGTCCTGGGCCGGCCCCCTCCCCGCCCCTCGAGCTGGGGGCTGGCTGGCTGGCTGGCTCGGCCGGGCGGACACTCCTGGGCCCCCACCTCCCCGCGGGGCTGCGATCCCTTCTTCCTCCCGCCCTCCTCCCCTCCCCCCCCTCC